ATGCTCGGCTCTAACTGCTGTGCAAGGTACCAAAGTCTGCCCTGTACGTTGGGTCTGACCGTCATAATCTTGGCCTTTCATGTAAATAGGCTTTACCGCCTGCCTACTTACATCATTTTTCCTATTAACTACTGTGGGTGTGTTGAAGAAATACTATCCAACTTGCAAACTCAATAAATACAAGTAAGTTTAAGTCAAATTTAATAAGTTTAATCTTTTGCATTCCTGATTATTGTGTTTTTTGGATTCTATAAAACCTTAATGCAAAAATCAATGTTTTCACATATTATAAAGGTTTTATGTCATCTATTCATCAACTTTTTGCTAAAACATTTAAAAAAGCAATTCTTCAAATGCATTACAAGGTAAAAATGAGATTCGGTCATCAGGTAAAGAGTGTTGTAAAGAACGAAAAGTGGAATAAGAAAAAAAAAAAATTTCTATCATCTTATCATGATGATTAGTTTATTTAACTATCGTAATGTAAATTGATTACACATTATTACAGTATCAAATTTAAAAGCAACTTAAATTGCTATTTCTGTATTTAACTTATTAATTATACTGTATTAAAATTAGAATCGACTTACATTCACTCTACATTTTTTACATTTTTTGGATATTTCTATATAGCGATAATGGTATATAAGTAGTTTTAGAATTAAGTAGTTTTTGTATTTTTATTGAAAGCATAGAAAAGATGCTATGAATGTGACCATATAACTGTTCAGTAACTTTATCCTATTTATTATACTGCTATTGTTAAAATAAAATTGACCTTTCGTAAGGCTACTTTAATAACATGATCTTTACTAGATAAAAAAACAGTTTACAGTGACAATGAAAGAACTATGTACAATTATATTTAATAATATTAAAAAATAAAGTAATAAAATAATTGTGCTATACTTTACCATTATTGATAATTTTCATTATCGAAAGAATTATAGATCTTATAATTTTCATCAAGAAAATTATTAGGAAAATAGTTGTTAAGAAAGTTTTCGTTGTTAAGAAAATCTTCAGTATTTTGAGTTTCTGCTACATTAGAAAAAAAATCTGTAATAGATTTTTGCTTCAAGGATTCAATAGTTTTTCACCTCATAAGTGGTACATATTTGCGAAATATTGTTAAATCATTTTTATCGAAATCATTATTCATTTGTTGTTCAACAAATAAAATAAAATTTTTTAATTCATCTAATTCTTCTGAGACTGAAATATGCAGTGGCTCCTCATCAAAATCATCAGGATTACCTTGATCATATTCTAATTTTTTTGCCAACATGATTTCAACAATTTGATGATCGTCAAGTTTTTCTTCTGAAGATATATGTGCATTATTTAATTTCATATAGGTTTCCACATCTTGTACAATCGTTGGGTCTGTGTTATAGGTATGATTGACTACTAATTCATTAACTTCACTTTTTTCATCTTTGATAGAGTCTGAATATATGTTTTAAACAAATTCAGTCTCAACATTCAGCACTATTGGTAAAATACCTGTCTTCTTCCAACAATTTACTATAGTTAACTTATCTACTTCGTCCCATGACACTGCTACATACTCGATAGCCTCCTTAATATTTATCTTATTTCTTAAAAAAATAAAAAATAAAAAAAAATAAAAGTAAAAAGAAAAAAAAAAGTAAAAAAGAAAAATTAACAAGAAAAACCATATTTGCTTACTTGGGATCCTGAATGTCTAACCCTTTTTTTTTTAAAAAAAAATATTAACGGTGAGGCCATGCCTTTAACTTTATTGAAATTCAATTGAAGTTTTTACAAAGAAAAGCTTGCT